TCCTTCAGCTTTCCTTAGTTTCCTTTCAAAATCTCTAGTTTCCTTTTGTTTGATTGCACTCATCTTCGGTTTTCTTGCAGTTTCTCGTAGTTTCCCAGAGTGTCCATCAGTTTCCTAGCTATTTTCCAGAGTTTTTCAGTAGCTTCCCATAGCTTTAGCTTGCTGCTGCTTCTTGAGAATGTTCTTCAGAGAGTAATGTGAACAAAAAAGATAATTATTTTATTCTATAGAAACAACTTTATATTGACGATTCCTTTCCAGTCAAAGGATAAGTGAATCAGAATGGTGAACGTTACTTGTTTGATTATAGTCTTATCTCACGTATCACAATTACAGAACATATTTAGTGATACGCATGAAAAGACTGGTTGCATTGAAGGAAAAAATGAATATTATACATGGCCATATACTCCTTCTGACTACCGATTTTTTTCGGTAGTCATGGTCCACTGCGTGTATAATTTGAGTGTTTTTTTTGCGTGTGGGTAGAAGCAAGCAATAATAGGCACAGTTATTTTGCCACTAATGAAATCTACTAGTATCGTATTTCATCAAAATTCGAGTTTATTACTCGAAAAAAAAATTTAAGATCATTTCTCATATCTTGCCTTATTTTTAAATTATATTTAGTTGATTCTGTAACAAAAATGGCATTAGATACAGGCGGTATCATGAAATATACTCGGCTTATCATGATTATAATTAATTCGGTGTTTTTCCTCATTGGTCTTATAATGTTAATAATTGGTATCTGTGCTTTAATGAGCGCAAAAGTACAAAGATTTGCTCCATTATTAAATTCTAGTGTGAAAGTCAATTCAGACCAAATGTCCGATATGAGAAAGCTTAGCATCGCTCTTATTGTTATTGGCAGTATTCTTATGGTGTTGGCTGTTGTTGGATCTCTTGGTTTATTCAAACTACTTAGACTTATGCATCTAATTTATGCTGCTGCTATTGCAATCATCATTTTGGCTGAAATCGGTTTCATGATTTATTTTGTTTCATCTCTGGCACAATTGAGTCGAATATTATTACCAGAACTTAGATTATCAATTGTAAATGATTATACTGGAGTGGCATTGAACGAATCCAATACAACAACAATAAATTCTGTAACTTCATCATGGAATATAATTCAAATTAATCTGAAATGTTGTGGCGCGTTAAATAAAGGTGATTATAATTCGACTAAAAATTGGAATCGTATAAATCCATTTGATCCTGAAGGTCCTTTATTAATGTATCCTTTGACGTGTTGCCCCATACATGGAAAAACAACTTGGAACAAGTTACCGGTTGATGATCTACGTAAAGCACAAACCTGTGCTCTTTACGATAAAGGTGTTTATGATAAGGGATGTTACGAGAAAATATTAAATTTAATACGACAGTATAGAGATGGTATGATATTCGGTGCTGTTGTTATTATTGTTATTGAGCTAGTGGCATTTATTGTTGCCATTATATTTTACCGCAGAAAAGCAGAATACGCTCAACTATATTAAATGCATGGTGAATAGTAATAATCATCACTGTTCGTTTCTTAAACAGTCAGTTCTTGTCTTTCTGCTATAGAGTTTTTTCTTCGCCATAAATTACCTCATAATCATTTGTTGGAGAGGTATACGGTTTGCCCACCCAATATCTAGGACAACTTTTATAATCAAAGTAAAAACTAAATATTTTCTAAATAGAAAGGGTTATTATGTGTACTACCTTCTATAAGAGTATGAAATTTGTTTGCCCCATCCTGGATATACAGAGAGAACGGAAGATCACAGTATTATCCGACAGTAAATCTTAGTTTTTGTATTTTTAAACATATTAAGCAAAAAGACGTCAGCAGCTCTTAGTAACGTGGTTTACCACAAAATGTGTAGTATATAACGAATGTGCATTGAACGAGCTATATTGTAGGCTAGTCACTGAAACTTTAACTTTTCTCTTGATTCGCATCGGTCGTCCGAAAAACTTCATCAAACGAGAATGAATGTGATATTTTTTAACATATTGTTTGAATTTCCACCATAGTGTATGAAATATTTTCGACGAAAATTACAGGATCTGATGCACATGTCATTTGCTTTTTCTAGAAAATAAATGGTAACGGACTTATGCAACTCTTTTACCATCAAATGGTAATAGGTATTTTACCTTAAAGATTTTGTTTATTCAGAGACTAATTTGGCGAGTATATGTAATTCGATGCTATCTACAAACTGACTGAAGTGACAGTGGATTTCCTACAAGCGCTCAGACTAGTATTTTAATCTGTCGACTCCGAGCTCGAGATCCAAGCCTCGCAAGTCTTACCCATTCTCAAGCTTTCGTCCACCAAGACTCAGGCTGAAATTTGGTCTTGTAACATCTCTACTTGGGATAAACCTACCTGAAACATCGAGAACAGTTTCTTTTTATTAGATTTCTTTGAAATATACATTCACTGATTACAAATACGTGATCAGTTTTGTCTGAAAATCTTTGATTAAAGTGAGAAAAAAGCTATTTTTGACATCAGATATTTTTTGACCTATCTTCAGTGTTGACTGTCACCCAGCCCAAAAAGTAATTTTTCACACATATATTTGTGTGTAAAATCTTTTTTCTACTTGCCAAAAAACTTCTTTTCTAGTTGAGTATCAATACAGTTCACTATTTTCCTTTCTGCTAGGAGAAAAATGTTTGAGAAAGAACTATCTTATAATTTCAAAGTTTTAGCCAAATCTCTAAAATATCTTTTTAATGATTTTATCACTTATCAACTAACTACAGGGTGTGTAATAATATTTTTCCAGGGGGTACAGCTGAAACTACAAATGATATAAAAATAAATTATATACCAAATTAATGCTCATCTAAAATGGGACTGATGTGTATAAATGATATTCCGTGTGATGATTATTGGCTGTAGAATTACGGAAGTTTCTATCGAGTGCGTCATAATGAATAAGCCTCTCAATATTTTCTATTTTTCTCGTGTTTCTTTAGGATCTCACGGTTAGTGCTTTTTTAAAAGGTGTGTCATGAAATATTCTACAAAACCATGCTCAAATTTTAATTTTAGAACGTCAATCAAGGAAACTACGTAAATCATTAGAAAATTATCAACTTTTGATCCGCTATAGCTAGAAAGTTGAGACTTTCCGGTCGACAAGGAATCGGATAAACATGCCGACAGCGAAGAGATTTGAATTCTATGTCAAGTCCTTCGAAATGTTACCAGAGTCACCACAATCAACGCGATTTTACCTCATATGAAAATTACCTACATTTTTTATCCGCAAGGATTCCAGCCGCGAGACTGCGATATTCGGATCGGGCATGTCGAGAAACCTTTTTTATCTAAGTTTAAGCTTGAAGGCAGACAGAAAGTTTCAATCGAAGTTTTTGCCTGAGGTCCCCCTCAGATGTTTTGCCTAAAATTTTGGACGAAAACTTTTCTTTTCGAGACACATTGAATTATATATTATTCGATGCAGTTTTTCGCGTAGATTCCGAATATCACATTGGTTCTGCATAAAAATGCTTTTGAACGTCTAAAAATTAAGCTTTTCGCTTTTTCCGTTCTGCATGTGCATGTATAAGTTTGTGTTCACTGTGAAAAAGAGAAAATATTGTTTTTCTCCGCTCTTTTCTCTCTTCCCATATGATAAAACATGTTCTTATTTTTCTAGCGTGTCATCGATATAAGAACATTTAGTCGATTTTTATATTTTGTGATTTCACCCAAGCAAAAAAATGCCTTTGAGAATATCTAGCTATAAAAATATGTTATCGGGCAATATCGGCTTGTGATAGCTAGCTATCCGTACCACTTTTATTGAGTTAGCTAGCTATATCGAGTATGATAGCTAGCGACTAGATATCGTACCCGATAT